ACGACTTTGAAAGATATTGTAATATTATGGATAATTCAACTAAAGGAAATGATATGCCTGAGTTACAGGAGTAAAATTAAGATTAAAAGAAATGACTGGTTGGAAACGCATGTCTGGCGTAAAATATTATAAGCCTGGTATCTTTGATGAGCTTTTACAGGAATTTATATCATATACAGTATAATAACACATTAAAAACATTCAAACTTTTAATGTACACTTTTAACACTGAGCAATACCTGTTATCGAAGCTACCATTACGTCATCGTACGGGTTTTTCCTGATTTGCACCGTTAAAAATTGAAATTGTCGGTGTAGAAGGAACGGTCTATGTGACAGATTTTGATTAAATTTTAGAAGATGAAAAACATAAACTTTAAAATTTCCGTTCTAAAGATTTGTAACATGACATATTCATTAGTATACTTTATTTTAATGCTGAATTTTTAATTTGTCTGTTGATGAAACAGTTTTACTATATATACTAGTTCATTATCACTGAACTAGTATATATATTTGTTTAGGGGCCAGCTGAAGGACGCCTCCGGGTGCGGGAATTTCTCGCTGCATTGAAGACCTGTTGGTGGCCTTCTGCTGTTGTCTGTTCTGTGGTCGGGTTGTTGTCTCTTTGACACATTCCCCATTTCCATTCTCAATTTTATATATATATATTCACACCAATGTATGTAATAGTGTTGACATAACATTTTGTTAGGAGAAACTGTCCTTTGTATCATTAATTACTCTTGCAAATGTTTTATATAAATAAAGATGATTGATGCAAATAAGTTCTTTGTTTTAGATCGGTATTTTGTTTTTTCTCTTTATGTTAGTTGTTGGTTATATTTTTTTCGGAAAGGGAGGAGGCTTTCGTACCTTTTCAACTGCTTTTTGCAGTTTTTGTCGAGTGTCGTGTTGTTACACTACTTTCCCAGGTTAGGAAATGATCGAGTGCTGAAAATTAATTAGATTTAGATAAAACAGTTTTAAAAACATACTAGGATTGTTTTGGAGATTCAGCTATTTAATTTGCTTCTTTATAAAAACAAACACATTATTTCCTGATATCCATTCAGATGGACAAAAGGGAAATTTGTCTAGCTATTACTTGTAGTATTAGATCTTGGAAAGTACAGGGTCTGTAATTCAAAAATTGGAAAGGGGGTAACTTGCATGCATTATTTAATTTTTGGCTCTACCAAAGGACAGGAAATGATAATTTAATGGTGATCGGAGGGATTTCAAGAATTATAAGAAATGTGTATACTGCAAAAAGGCTCTAAAGAACATATATGGCTTACCTGGCATTTTCTAATGAAATAAATACAATGCAATAATAATGTTTCTGATAGTTTCTGATAGTAAAGCAAAAAATATGGAAAAAAATGTTTTTCAATGCTTTTAAATTTTTCAATTCAAATAAAGACACAAGATACCAAAGGGACTTTCAAAACTCATCGGTTTTAGAAAAGCTGACAGCGTCATTGCAAAAAACAAAAAAACGACCAAAAAGCGAACAAGTCAACAGTCACTACATAGAAAATGTTTAAAAAGAGATAGAGATTGAATAACATGAACTCAACCAAAAACCACTGTGATCTCATGTGCGCCGGAAGGATAAGCAGTTCCTGCTACGCATGTGACACACATCGTGTTGCTCATGCAAGAACAAATCCGGTAATAAGTCTAATTCGGAGATGTCACCATCAAGGGAAAAAATACGGAATTGTGGGTACGACAAATGGAACATATACGTGGTCATCTGTGACACAGATATTCCATAACGACTCGTGATAACGTCCGTCTTCAACTTTACCAATTTGAACCATTGGTTCAATAGCTTCTTTCTGGTCAGTAACCCTCTATCAAGGAAATCATTATAGGAAACACAAGCTATGGAATATCGTATCAACCTGAAGATATATACTTCATATGTAGGCGCTGCTGTAATGTAGTGACATAGAAATAGAAATTGTGCAAATTGAAAGCTGATATCATCCCTTTTTTCGTAAAGTTTTCTCAACCAACCCTAGATGTAAGCCAAGATATAAGGCAGACTCAATGATTTTACACTAGTAATTTTTGGGGCCCTTTATAGCTTACTGTTCGGTGTGAGCCAAGGCTCCGTGTTGAAGACCGTACTGTGACCTATAATGGTTTACTTTTATAAATTTTGACTTGGATGGAGAGTTGTCTCATTGGCACTCATACCACATCTTCTTATATCTATCATCTTTGTTATCCTTTATTTCAAGTTCGACGAAATAGATGCTTTCATTTTGTAGTATTTATCGATAGGACATCATCTATAGTTGAAGGATAAAGCTATCTTCCCTTCATTCTTCCTAACAAGCTCCTGTATAAAGTCTGTCTCATATGAATAAAAGTATAAGTCGACAAGTCGAGTAGGACAATAGGTTTCCATGCAAATGCCTATTGTTTTTTTTTTTCGAAAAACACGTCATTCAAAGGTAACATTTATATTGTTAATAAAATACAAAGTATCTAGATGATGTAAATTTCACATATTTTATTGTTTGAATTAGAGAAGTTTCTTTTTGACACATTATGATTTATCCCTTCCTAAAACAATATATTTGTATCTACGTTGACCATTCTTTTTTATGAATCAAAGTTGGACTAGTTCTTATAGTCTTTAAGAGTAAAATTAGGTATTCTAGTGTAAATTGTAGGGAAGCCTTTGTTTTTATGCTATTGCAAGAGGAAAGAGACTTAGATTGATAATATCCTATCAGATATTTCGATTTTTAAAGTATCCACATCTGATTTACACCCCCCCCCCCCCCCCCCCCCCCCCTCTCCCCGCCTTCTTTCTGGAATATGTATTTTCACAGTAACTCTGAAACCCGGCTTTGATTGGTTTTGATTTTGGTTCGTGTCTTCCTTTTTCTTTAGCTAGAAATAGAAAACTTTGTTTTCCTTTTTTGTCGCTGAATTACGTCCCAGTGTATTCTTAAAGCAATATCGTCGTACAATAATTGATCCAGTCGTACATTAAAACTCTATACGAATTACTGTCATACACGAAATTATTTATGATTAAAAAAAGTAAAAATTCTTCTTTTCCATCAAATTTTATGCTTCGCAGCAGATTTTGGGTGCTTAGATAAACATTATCTTTGTTTTCCTTTGAAAATACTGTCAAAACTAAGTAGCCGATTTGATGACTTAGTGATTTTTCCTCGAATTTTGAATGCTTTTCTTTAGCGACGATGTGAAAACTATCCGTTAAATTTGGATGCATTGGTATCTGCTCTTGCTACTGTTTCGTATGCCATTAAACCTAAATGCTAAATAAAATGTTTTGCCGTTTTTTTTTCTCGATTAACCCGCCCGTGCAAGCGCTGTATAGCCAGTCAAGGTCGTTAAAAACTTCCATATATATATTCTCGATTGAACTATTTCACATGTTTTTATATCGGGGATTCATATAGTAACTTTATGGTATTGGTGTTCATCATTGTTAAAAGCATAACAGTTACATATAGTTGCTTACATCCACATCATTTTGTATCTGGTGGACAATTGTATCATGGGCACTCATACCACATCTTCACCTTTTATTGTGTCATCTTTGTGGATGTTTAATTGGGAGAAATCGGACTCCATAGTAAAGTAAGGTGTCACAGAAATGAAAATAAGTCTACATTTTTCTGCTCCTAATATTAACAGCAGAACTCCGTTCTGAAATAAAAAGAAGTAGCTTTATTATATGTAATTTCATTAAGACTGCGGTATTTTCCAAGTTAACACCACATTATTGAAACTTCTTTTTCTTGTCGTCATTTATGCATGTATTTTCAATAACATTATAAACTTTTAAATGTAATTAGAAAAATTGCATCACATTCTTTTATCTACCTCATTAATTTTATTTCATATGTATGATACACATGTATGATTCACAGAACTGAATTATGACTATTCTTAAAGTCATATGAAACTAGTTTTTTTGTAATTTTAATGTTATCAAAATTATTCAACCAATGGATATTTATATTTATATATACCAAACCAAGTCCTGTATGCACGTTTTTTATATATGTATTACGAATCTATAACGTATTGTCGACAAATAATATTTCATTCAGTGATTGTTGATAGTTGCCGACGTTTACCGGTCCTGGCATTGATAAACAATCAACACAGAGAAAGGGGAGCACGTGACAAATTGTTCAATTGATAGAGCATTGTTAATTATTTTTTTTTTAACAATTGTTAAATGATTTGGCGTATTAAATTTGTTCTTTAAGAATAAGTTATCACTATTCACCTGTCAGTGCACAATTGTTTACTACAATTTTCATCACGGTTTCTACTGGCACTTGCGCTGTGCGGTGGCCAAAGTTCTAACGCGAGATCTTGTAGTTAAGGTCACTGCCTACGGAAAAAATATATATCAGCGAATTAGTGTACGGAAAGACAATAATCCAATGACAGTACATTTATGAAGATTTTGATAATATAAAAGATTTTCGTTTACAAGAAAGTTCACGTTCACTTGTTTTATACTAAAACTTAGAGATTCAAGTATATAAAACATATTCAAGATTTTTTTTAAAACTTGAAGTTTTATATGACGTTAACCAAACCATGACAATCTCTTTTTATATTTAGATATTGAATTATTTGCAAGGTGGCGATTTTTTTCAAGATATTTAAAAGCAATTGTAAGTTATAACACTTAATTTGTTGTAGCACGCTGAAAACAGAACATTTTTTATGTGTGAAAAACCATAACATAAATTTTAAAAATTGCCGTTCCTAAGCGTTAAGTATGTCATATTTTATATCGATACGATTCATAATTTTCATTTACAAACAAAATAGCTATAAACAAGGCTCTTAAAAATTATCTTTATAACTTCTTTTAGGAAAAAATCCAAAGTTTACATTTTGTCATTCATGTCCTACTGCACAAAATCTTGACAAAATAACTATACTTTTAAACTCTTCTCGATATGACGACGTTCCTACCTGTGGAAATAATGGATATCCCGATGTGTACATATCTAATGTCCTATCATTATGAGGACAAATAGTATCGGTATTAAGTTTTTATTAAACAGGTGGTCGTTGTCATAATAGGTAAATAGCCACAATTTTTAACACTTAACCGGCTTTTACTTTTAAACCATTGTAGTTTTTTCGACCATGACAACATGAGTTTGGTGAATAGTTGAATATTTGATAATAGCAGGATGTAATTATATATTGAATTGATATCGCTTTCAATGGTAAATGGATAAAATGTGGATCTTCACAGTTTTGTGTATTACATTTGTTTATCCATATAGAACTGTGTATGCGGAATGCAATATCACACTAAATATGTTTGGATATAAAGAGGCTTTGTGTAAACATCAAGGATTTACATCGATTCCGGAGGATTTACCACCTGATATAAAGAAATTGGATTTAAGTTACAATAGACTGACCAGACTGGATGACAACGGATTTCATAGATACAAGTATCTAGAAAATCTAATAATTGATAATAATGACATCAGATTGTTGCATACTAAGGCTTTCTGTGGCTTATCGTTATTGAGACATTTGTCTTTGTCTAAAAATTATCTGAATGTATCTGAATCGTACCCTCAGGGAGTGTTTGAGTCTATAAATAATTTATCAGTTTTAGACATTAGTAGAAATATGAAAACTCCAGACTCCAACCTATATAAAATTCCCGTCGGCGGACTCAGTAACTTGCGTGAGCTCAGCATTGATCTTATGTTTAATGCAACGTTTGGACAGCACTTCAAGAAACTGTACAATTTACAAAAGTTGAGTCTTGATTATTGCCACGTAAATTATATTTACAATGAAACATTTTTACAAATGCCGGTGAGTTTAAAGGAATTCCACATGACAACTTGTAAAAACTTTGTTGTCATTGAAGGTGGAGTTTTAGTTCCGTTTCCACATCTTAGAGTACTGAATCTTACTAATAGCAATATTCACTTAACACAAGCCCTTAACATTTTACATCCATTTCAGAACAAAACAATGGATGCACTTCTTTTTCGCGGAATAACTCGTCCAGATTCAAAACATAGCATTGATCCAGTAATTCTTACACCAGAAATGATGAAATATGCATATACTATCTGTATAAAAACAATTGACTTATCCGAAAATAACATTATATTAGTTAAAAACAAATCGTTAGTTTTGTTTCAACGTCCAGAGTGCTTTGAAAGTGTTATTATATCTGCTAATAGTTTTAGTATGGATGGCTGGGAAGTTGATTTCGTCTTGTTTACGTTCAAGATGATCAACATCAAAATAATAGACTTTTCTTATTTCCCATTAGGATTCAAAAATCCAATTTTCCTAAACGTAGTAACAAGGGATAACTTTACAAGAATTGAAGAAGTTCAAGGTAAATGGGCAAGACAGGCTAATACCATGGCAGTATTAGTTCCGAGTCAAATTCAGTTTTTGAGATTAACTCATTTTATGACTGAATTTTCCTTTCTGGAAATAAAGATAAGAAATAGCTCCCTTCGTCATCTTGAAATATCTTACCTTGAAACAGATTTCTTTCCACTTATAACTATGGAAGGATTTAACAGTTTGGATTATTTGGATTTATCAGGTATAAGTTCAGTAAAAACTATTGGAGAGGCGAAAATTCCGCTTTTAATCCATCTGAAAACACTTATCTTAAAAGAAACAAACTTATTTAATGTTTTGCAAACTAATACAACAATATTTTTTTTTTGTCCAAATATAATAAATTTGGATGTATCATATAATTATATCTGGAAAATCAGATCGAATTCGATTGGGCGACTTCTTTATCTAAAACAGCTCAATATATCTCATAATTTGTTGGAGACTGTTCCAGATGTGGTTACAACATTTTATAACCTTGTTGAACTCGATTTGTCGCACAATCAATTAACAACAATTGGAAAGAATATACTTGATTGGATTGATACCATGCACAAAAAACATGGAACTTTTGAATTTTATCTTAGTAATAATCCGTTTATTTGTTCGTGTGACACAACGACATTTCTGAGATGGATTTTGACGACACAAGTTACATTAGATGAAAATGGAAATTACTCTTGTTTGGTTTCTTCAAGAAATAGTATCAACTATACAAGAAATGTCGCTGAAAACTTTCATCATTATTTTGTTGACTGTGATACTACCGTCTGGATCAAATTGGGCATTTCATTGTTGGCTACTCTTTTATCGAGTGTGCTGTGTATTGCTCTATTATACAATTTTAAATGGAGGATAATGTTCTTTTTCTTTCGAAATTTCCGAAGATTTGCTGAGAAAGGTCTAGAGTTAACTTTTGATTATGACGTTTACATTTCATATTCCGATGACTGCGTTACTTTTGTGAAAGAATTGCAAGAGAAGGTAGAGGAGGAATGGGGATTCAAAGTCTGCATTGAAGATAGAGATTTCATTATAGGCGAATCGATTGCTCATGAAAGAGCTACGTCCATTAACAGATGCAGACACATAATATTTCTAGTAACGCCTTCAATTGTTAAAAATGAATGGACTCGTTTTGAAATCGAGAGAGCAAAATATGAAAAGTTTTCAAAAAATCTGCAGAGGATTGTTGTTATTACAAGCGATATCACTCTGGATAATATTCCCGTAGAATTTTCCACAATTTGGAAAGATGTACTTCTTATTCAATGGCCTGTCGAGAAGGATGCAGTCCAAATGGCTTGGCAAAAGCTTCGACTTTGGTTTTTTTGATATAATATAATTTATAAAAGTTATTGCAAACCCAATGAAAGTTTTCCACAGTGCCATCTCTATCTTGACCAGGTATTTAAACTTTTGTAAGTTCACCTGTCCTATTGAATAAATACAATAGCTATTGTTCTCCATGTAGTTTTTTCACTGGGATCTTTAAATTTCTTCTAAGAGAAATCTATCACTCATTGATTAATTTACATGAGTAAAAAAAAAATCTTGTAAAGAGAGGAAAATAGATATAGGAAGATGTGGTATAAGTGCCAATGAGACAACTCTCCATCCGAGTTTTATACTCAAAACTGCATGTGATGTTATATTTATTCAATATTGATAATATATTTTCAATCGGTTGAATGTAAACAGTGATGCAAAGTTGAAACATTAATAAAATATAAAAAAGAAGATGTGGTGTGATTGCCAATGAGACAACTCTTCACAAGAGACCAAATTTATGTACAAAAAATGAATGAAAAACAAATATGTAATACATAAACAAACGACAACCACTGAATTACAGGCTCCTGAAGTATTTTTGTCTATATATAAGATTTTTTTTTACTCAGGTAAATTAATCAATGGGTGATAGATTTCTCTTAGCAGAAATTTAAAGGTCCCAGTGAATAAACTACACAGAGAAAAATAGCTATTGTATTCATTCAATAGGACAGGTGAACTTACAAAAGTTTAAATACCTGGTCAAGATAGAGATGGCACTGTGGAAAACTTTCATTGGGTTCGCAATAAAAGCACTCAACAAAATGTATAAGGTACCACACATGATACATTAATTTACGTATGTTTTTTTTTGCATATATCCTTGAATTTCAAAGTGTTACTTTTTGTATGTTTTATTTTCTTATCCCTTAAATATGAAAACAAACGCGTTGCACAGTCAACTATTTTGCATCGTTTTACGTATAGTGTATAAATGTGGGAATATGTATTAGAGGATATGTATAATAAATGAGTGTATTCATGCTACAAACTCCAACAGTATATGTTTTGTAAATGTATGTCACTTATCAAATATTTGTTTAATAATTGATAATCTATCAGATTCTCTGTATGCATTGCTTTAATTGGAATTGGTCAATGAAGTGAAACTCTTTTAAAGGTTGTAATTATTCTGCGCTTAAAATTAATTTTGATTACCTAGACACGTAGCAATTTTAGTGAGTTTCTATGTTTGCTCTACCTACCACAGTTCAGTTATGACAAAAGTACGGATATCAGTAGGTTGAAATTGTGTTGCTGTTTTACTTTCATAAGTGATTTTTCTAGGATATAATATATAATTCATTACAAAAGTATGTCTTTACAAGGCTAATTCCCTGTAAGAATTTAAAACTTTTGTTGACTTTTGTAACCAAAAACTTTCTTTCGCTTCGATTTCGACAATGGAAGATCGAAAAACGGTCCCAATACCAAAATATTGGTTTAATTTATTATCGCAAAAAGTTTGTCAGTTGTTTTTCGGTTGTTTCTGGTCGTCATTGTTATAAAATTCTGTTCAGTTCGATTGGAATGAGTTACTCTGGTTTTTTCTTCTTATTGCAAGATAATGGTTACTAGTATTTATAAATAATATGGACTGTCTTTTACAGAAAAAGGAAGGACATTTTTTCAATTTGTTAAATACCCAATCTGATTATAAGCAGAGTGAAAGATTTGATTTTAATCGGATTGTTAAATTCCAATATACTTAACAATAAAACTATTATGTTGAAACTTTAGATTTTAAAATTGATATAGGTTATTGTGATTAAAATAATAAAAATACTCCAATGAAATTTCAAAACAGAAAGTCCCTTATGAAATGGCAAGACCATAAGCGCCAACACACCAAACGGATGGAAAAAAATCTGTCATATTCCTGACTTGGTACAGGCATATCTTTATGTAGAAAAGGAGAGGCGAAAGATACCAAAGGGACATTAATTCAAACTCATAAGTCGAAAATATACTAACAACACCATGGCAAAAAAAAGAAAAAGACAAACAGTCAAAACGTACACAAAACACAACATAGAAAACTAAAGACCGAGCAACACTCACCCCACTAAAGATGATTATTTATCATTTAAACGAACACAGTTAATTTAACTTGATTAAAATTGATTAAGGGCATACGATACAGTAGCAAGGGTAGATAATAATATTGAATCCAAATTTTGACATTTTGTTTTCGCAACGTTGCTAAGCATCCAAAATTCGCTGAAAAACTGCAACCTTTATCAAATCGGTTATGTGGATATGAAAGTATTTTCATTTATATTACACTGCAACGTACTTTAGCGACAACAAAGGGAAACGTAAAATAACAAAAATACCGAACTTCAAGGAAAATTCAAATCGGAAAATCCCGTATAAAATGTCAAAATCAAAAGCTCAAACACATCAAACGAATGGAAAACAACTGTCATATTCCTGAATTGGTACAGGCATTTCCTTATGTAGAAAATGGTGATTTAAACCTGGTTTTATAGCTAGCTTAACCTCTCACTTGTATGACAGCCGAATAAAATTCCATTATATTGACAACAATGTGTGAACAAAACAAATAGACATAATAGGTAAAAATGTCAAAAATAGGGTATAGCAGTCAACATTGTGTTATAATCTTTATTACTTTAAAAACAAACAAATATGTCAATGGGATCGCTAAAACTGAGAACATGTGCCTCTTTTTTTGCAATCAATTATGCACTGCTTTAAAAATACTGAAATCGCAGTAAAACATCAACAGTAGATTTGCTAACATGGCATTTTTTTTAACAAAATTGATATATGCAATGAAAATGTTTCTGATAGTTTCTGGCAATAAAGAAAAATAGGAAATCAATTGTCTTCCAAGGCCAATAACTCATATAAAGAGGCAGAAGATACCAACGGGAAATTCAAAATTCATCGGCTGAAGAAAAATTTACAACGCAATGACTAAAAAAAAAGAAAAAAAACTACGAAAAAACGAAAAATGCCTCAATCACTTCATATAAACAAAAACCAAAGGCTGAACAACACGAACCCCACTTTAAACCGGTGGTGAACTCAGCTGCACCAGAAGGGTAAGCAGTTCCTGCTCCACATGTGGCACTCGCCGTGTTGCTCATAAAAATAAAAATCCAATGCCTAGTCTAATTCTGTGATGTCAATATCAAGGAAAAAGGACGGGATTGTGGTTACGATAATGGTAACATATCCGTGTTCACAGAAATTCAATAAGTAAGTTCTGTTCTCAACCGTCCCTAGTATAGATGTAAGTCAAGATATGAGGCAGGCTTAACTGTCCTTTGGTATTCTTTATTTCAATCTCGAAGAGATAGATGCGTTGAACATAGTCACCAAACTTTGCTTTAATTATTGATAGGATATAATCCATACTGTGGAACGTGAAAGCTAAGCTTCTAGAGTAAAGGGTAGAAAATCAAATTTGTGTATGCTATTGCAAGAGGAAAGAGACTTAAGATTTTATTTTTTCTAGTATCCATATCTGATTTGCACTGCCCCTTTATTAGTTAGGTAGTTCCACAGTAACGCTGAAACCCTGATTTGACTGCTGATAAAATTTATGTTAATAGTTTGAATGGATATTTCTTGGAGAAACCGACAGACCCAGCAATATAATATTGTGTGTAAGGACACCCATGTAATTTGGGTATCCAGCACTGTGAAGTAAGATAAGATCTCATCTGTGGTTGAAATTCATCAGAAACATAGAATACACCTATTTGTATTCCCGATTTCCTCTTTGGTAAGTATCGTGGGCGTATATGTTGAGTTTCCACGTGAATTGCCAATGCCTAATTTCGTTATTAAGCAGTTTATGTAATGTGATTTACACACAAAAACATTTTTTCTGGGATTTATCTGCGGGACATGTTTGTCATGAAGAAAAGACATGTATAGAAACGTCTTCTTTTTGCATTTAGCCCGTTGCCTGACAAAATCATCGACTGAATCATCAACTGACAATTTTAGCCATATTGACTTAATATTAGATCTTGTCATAATACTAGTAATCGTTTTGATTATAGTGTATCTCCTATAGTTTCCGCAACAACAACAAAAACACACAAAAGGGTTAAAATCTCATTTCAAGGGCAATTAATGATCTACAATTGTTCCCGAAAAATAAACAGAAAGGCATTAAGATCGTCTTTAATAGCAGTAATTCCTATAAGGAGTCAAAAGACAATTTTGGCAGTGTTGGCTTATTTGTAGATCATCATTTTCGACGTTTAGTTTCTTCTTATCTTCTAGTTACCGTAAAAAAAAATGGTAAAAGTCGCCTGTTATAACTCTTGCCATTCACATTATCTTTCAAAGTTTTAAAGATAACAACCAAAATTGCAAAAACAAATGGTAAACATCATCATTTGAGGGCGATAACTTCTATAAGGAGTTGTCTGACATTTTTGGTGTGTGGTCAAGTTTGGTATCCAGTTAGAAGTTAAAAGTTAACAAACGACAGACGACTGACTGACTGAGAAAGGTTATTTATATTGGTATAAAATGTTTTTAAACGTTTCAAAATAATTAAATTCATAAATATAAATGAATGTTTTAAATCTTATCAATTTAAGATGAAATCAAATAACTATATGCAACAAGAGTGCACAAGCTGAAATGTCTCGCCTGCTTTACTCATCATGATTGAATTTCTTTACACTATACACCGAATATAGTTATACTAATGCTTATAGTAACTGAGAAACAGACCTAATTACGAAAATGGTATATTGTCAAAGTCATACGAACCCTACCAGACAGACATGTTCGCCTAACAATCATTCCACGCACCATATGATAATCCATACAACAAAAAATTAACATTGACCAATGAACCATGAAAATGAGTTCAAGATAAGATGAAACCGGAGTCTGACATGTACACCTTACATTTATTCCATACACCAAATATAGTGGACCTATTGCTTATAGTATCTGAGATAGAGACTTGACCAAGAAACTTTAACCTTAATCACTGATCCATGAAATGAGGTCGAGGTCAGTTGAACCTCGTCTGAGGGACATTTAGACCTTGCAAGGAACCCATATACCAAATATAATTCTATTACTCATTATAAGTGAGTATTCACATGACAAAACAAAACTCGAGCAGTTGCAGAACCATGAAAAAGAGGTCTAGGACAATGGTCATATGTCAGATGGAAAGTTTGTATCATAAAATATCTGCATACAAAGTATGCAGCATCCAAGTATTCTACCTTCTGAAATATAAAGCTTTAAACAAATAGTTTGCACGTTCATCAGATTGTAATCCATGTTTCATAGTCTGCGCAGGCGAGACAAAAATGGAATAATGAACCTGTTCAAGGGATAAAATTGAGAATGGAAATGGGGAATGTGTCAAAAAAAGAGACATCCCGACCAAAAAAGAGCAGAAACCAGCCCAAGGCCACCAATGGGTCTTCAACACAGCAAGAAAATCCTGCAACCGGAGATTGGTATTAGTATCATACCATCATAAAATATATGAGAAGAACAAGAAGGGAGGCCATTTACTCATTGATTCGCAAGACTTGTAGGAATTGCAACATAGTGCAAAGGAGTGTGTCTCTTTTGCATACAATGACACATCAAAAGAACATAAATAAACACTGCATTCAAGTTCTAGCTGCATTGAGGATTCTAATTTTTTCAATATAACCAAGAGTCGTTAATTTATAGGATGATGACTGTTAACTCATGCTAACCCTAAGTAAAGATTATTTGTTTAAAATTTGTTTAAACCTTCGCAGAAAAATGTATGAACTACTTATGTTCATAGCTCATTTTTAACGTGTTTAGGGCCAGCTGAGGCCCACCTACAGGTACGGGATTTTCTCGCTCCATTGAAGACCTATTGGTGGCCTTCGGCTGTTATCTGCTCTTTGGTGGGGTTGTTGTATCTTTGACATATTCCCCATTTCCATTCTCAATTTTATTCCACATTATATTATATATTCTTTTTAACATTTTTGCCTTTAACTATTTAAGAAACAAAACAGATTGTATCAACTTACCCAAATAAAGATTAATTTAAAGTCTGAACATTTTGACATTATTTATTCTTTTATTTGTGCCTACTTTTTAATATTATCAAAGCTTCAGGTTTAGATTTGAGTAAGTACCCATATCCCGATATCGTCAGGTAGAATTTCTATAGGTTTCGCTGTTAAACTACGGTAAGTGTTAAGGGGAGGCTTGCAAATGATGTGTTTAACACCACCACATTCTGTATGTGCGTGTCTAAAGTCATGATATCATTGGCTGCTGTCTATCATTTGTGTTTTTTGTTTCTGTTTTGTACATAAATCAGGTTGTTGGTTCTTTCGTTTGAATTGCATTACATTTTGTCATGTCAGGACCTTTTAAAGCTTCCAATACCATATTAGGTGTTGCTCAATGTTGATAGCCTTACTATCACCTCTAGTTGCTTAAATCTACTTCATCTGGCCTTGCGGTCATAAAACTTTCGAGCGCGATTTTCGTACTCAGACTCAGAAGTCAACCAATCAAAATCATGGATTTGGTGTTTCGAGCACAAATTTTGTACTCCGAGTACTGAGTAAAGTTTTATGACCGAGAGCCCTGGTCTCTGTTGAAGAGTTGTCTCATTTCCTACCACATCTTCTTATTCTTATTATAAGTGCAATTCATTATGCTATCCCAGCAGTGGCAATATCATTTTTTTTTAAATTGTAGCTTTTGAGCATGTATAAGTTTTCATTTAATATTAAAGTCTACTTTTTGTTAAATATTTGGTTGAATTAGATTAAATAAATCAATTCAATTCATTTTGTATTCAACAAACTTTTATAATTACATTCATACATATGATTTTAGAATCTAAGAACTTGTTTATTTAATGTTTGCGTGCTTCATTTCTGTGATATGCAGCTGATTTTGAATTAGTATGAGCATAGTATTCTGTAAAATTAGGCTCCACAAATCTGCCCCTTGGACTGTAATAAACTGGTTCTCCATATAAGGTACCAGTTTTCCAATGTGGGACATTTTTCATCAATTCATTCTCTTCATCTCTAAGTTTCCTCCAATATTTCATTGTACTGAAAATAAAATTTGTTTATTTTTCAATGTTAAATTTATATCAGATCATCAGAAATTATACTCGAATGAAAAGTTTGTTTTGAATTTCTTCTTGGCTCTTGTTAATAACAAGACAAAATACTGGGTCTGGACCTGTGTCTCTGCATGTAATTGATTGAGGTAACTTGTATACTGGAGCATAACTGATCATTCCCTTTCACTAAAGCAAAGAAAACTTTCATGAAAATTTTCCTTGCACAATAAGTGTTGTTAAATATCAAACTATCGGCACTCAACATTATAAAGCTTCAGACCAAATATCAAATTATTCCCTTTCATAGAAGCCAAAAAAACTTTTGACGAAAGATTTCTTTCGTACAGAAGGAAGCACATACTTCTCCAATTCAATCAAAATACTTTAAAGTTGATGTAAAACAAAGAAAATCAAAATAATTTACCAAATATACAAATTTTGTCATGGTTTGCTGCTGGAATGGTAACTCGTTTCATGTGAAATTTGTTTTTTTTTGTTTTTTTTGGGAACACCATGTACCTTAGTGTAGTTGGGACAAATTAAAGAACATGCATGGTCACTTTTCGATTTGTACTAATATTTGGGCCAAATATGGGACATATTGCCCCTACTCTTTTGTAAATTTGTAAAAATACAACAACTAGGTGTGCATTCATCATGAGTTTGTAGTTAATGAACAGCCAAATCAATTTGTTGGCCCAAAATTGCCCCCCTCCTCTCTCTCTCTCCAAAAAAAAAGTCAGTTGGCTGTTTACTTTTACAGCAAGAGCTGTATGTATATAAGAATAGGGTCCACTGCATGGCTTACAAATCAGTCATATTGTCCTGAAAGTCATGGTAATTATATTCTCAACCGGTTTTGCTGAGTCTGAACTGGACATCACACGTGGGTTTGCCCTTTTAACATAAATCGGAGAGAGAAAAAATTGAAGTTTTTGCAATTTTATTTACCTGAACTTTTTCCTTAAACAGCCACACTCTTTCATGTCATAAAAGTGATAATTACTCTAAAAGCAACTTTACTTTAATACCCACTATCACCTTCATATTATAAAATGGATAATTTGAACTGAGTTTGGTGATTTATCAACCAACCCAATGATAACCTATATTCAATTTAAGATCATTGATACATATCAGCAGCAAGGTAAATCTCATTTGTACATAATTTGGACAACTATGCACATAACAGAAATATGTCATTATTTTGAATAAAATTATCAATTGAATAGTTAATAAAATACATTCGTCTTCAACTTTAAAATACCTTCTTTGCCTTTCTGCCATAATGAGTGGTTCTACAGCAAATCTAGCATCATTCTGTTCTATTCTTCTTAATCTGAAAGAAATAAGAGAGCAGTCAAATACCTACTTTACAGATTTAAGTTAAAATATGGACATTTTTTTGTATTTTCTAAAAACTAATTTAAGTACCAGCAGAACTGGTTCTAAAAGCTCTGAGTATGCATTTTGCTGATCTTTTTTGGGAAAAATTATTTAAATAATCTTTTTAGTCTAGAAATCTATGACTTTGGGTCTGTTCTTCACTGGGTGTGTTGCTTGTCTTCATTTAATGTTTGCTACAGACTTTTCAAATGAGTGGAATGGAAGAGCTCTTAAAAACTTTAACCCAATTTAAATTGTGACTGTCCACAGTCAATTCTTAAACATTGCAGTCTTTTGTTTTTATTTATAGTTAATTTTAGACTACCTTCTTACTTAGGCAGTGACCATTTGATTCTGCTGGAGAGGTCTGGCAAACTGGGTATGACCAGAATATTCATTTTCAAATTTTATACTAGACAGAATATTTATTTACAGTTTGATGACAGTATCATGGAGATTTTTTAATTTTCAGACGCATCAATATCAGTTCAAATAATGTTCAACTTTTTGTGTTTGTGACATTTTTCAACGTCTTCATGGTCTTTGAAGACTATGCAATCAGCTACACTTGTTCAATTTTATATTGTTTGAAGTTTAAAATACATAGCCATTTACATTAGGGTCTGGATGGGGGTCCTCCATTTCTGTATTCTTTAATTTTTAGGCCATTTTTCTCTATTCTTAATAATTTTTGCCCATAATTCTCTGTTCTTTATATATTAACACCTCATTATTCTTTATTTTTTTGGTTCATTTTTCTCTTTTCTGTAAACCCCTATCCACATCAACCTCTTACGTGTCACAGGAACAAATTGAACTTCTGTTCAAAATACACAATGAGACAAATCAGAAGCCAAAAAAAAATTTGAAAATAATACCACAAAAAAGAAAACATGGAAAAGTCTGTAGGTGACCAAGAAAGACTTCAAAGCAGAGTGGTTAAAAACATGAATTTCGATCAAAACAGGCAACACTATCAGGTGCTTCGTGAGAAGATGCATTTAACAATAGCTGTATTGCCTAATGGACAAAGAAATTAGGGAGTTCAGTTTGGTAATGGGCGAAAGATTGTGAAGCGCTTAGAAATGTATGTCTTTGGTCATTTATGACATACTCACCTGATAATAGTGTAGGCTGAATATTATTAGAAGTGAGCATTTTATGTAATTGTGCTTTCTCAAGAAAGAACAAGCTTTGGAGAAACAAACCAGCTTTTAAGACAAAATGCAGGGGGATGCACATATTGTTGCTACTAAGATAAAGAATATCTACTATTTGAAAACTAAGTTCAGCATACATGTATCTGTATCTGTCACTAAGGTTTGTCTTCAAATGTTCTTCAGTCAATATTGATAGATGAAAGATCAAGCAGACTGCTTCAATTCATTTCACCAAAAAAATCTTACAAGTAAAAATAATCATATGGTATGAACATTTAAGTGAAACTTATGATTAATTTAAATCAGATACTTTGTTTTAAAAGTACATTGTAACTGAATTGCTATTGTCCTAAATTTCTGGCTCAGTGAGATAGGTGACATGTAAATTAACTTTAAATTTATTAACATGTAATGCTAAAAGAAAGTAAAATCAACTACACAGATATTCTTAAAAAAAAAGCTGTAATCAATCAAAACTCAATATCTTCTTGTTACATTCAGAATGGCTCAAGTAATAGTAATTCTACAGTCTTTCTTACATCAAATATGCAACCCTTTTTAAAATACTTTTAGAACCAAACAAATTATAACAATAATTGGGAAATTTCTCCTGGGTGAAAAGGCTTTTTGTATCAAACCTTCAAAAAAATGCACTGAAAAAAGATAATCAAATCTAAAGAATAACAAGAGAATCTCTGTATCCATGAATTTTGTTTTACTTATCAATGTAAATGTTTCACATCAAATTACATGTGTAATTAATTACCTACATGTATTAGTAATTCATGGTATTACATGTACCTGGGACAAATAGATAATGTTTTATTCCCAGGTATTACTAAATTTAGTTAAACATGAACTAGGAGTTGCTTACATCCACTTCATTTGAACTTTGGTGGTTATTTGTCTCATTGGCAGTCATACCACATCTCCTTATTTTCATATAGTACTGATTTTTTTTTAGTTATTTGTGGAAAACTTTTAGTGCATACTATATAAGTTTTAATTAACTCCCCACCTGAATAATATCTGTTGAGGAGGTGTTCCATAATTGGAAGGACATACATATAGAAATAGAAGAAGAAGAAGAAGAAGAAGAAGAAAAAGACTGAGTATATTCATACAAGCAGATTTATGATGTGATAAATTCTAAACCATACCTCCATGTTCTTCTTGTCTTATAATAGGAAATTATTCCAAATGTAGTAAAGCCAAACAAACCTGCCAACTTTATAAATGCTACAAAATAATTAAAGGAAACATATAAATATGATAGAATAATTAAGTTACTAGGAAAACTTGGAATGAGATAAAAATCAGATTGTAAAAGGCATCCAAAATATATTTAACTTAACAAAATGTGGCATTTCACATCCATTTTTTTTTCTTTTGAACAAATCTAGAATAGTCAATCTTTTTGGCTAAAATTTTTACTTATTCAATTAATGATCAAGGTTGAAATAATACTGTGTTGTTCAATCAATGTGTCTGTTTTTTATTTATTTTTTTTTTAATTATTAATCATCAGTTAAGATTGCTAATTTATAGTTAAATATTATAAGGCAAAATTTTTTCTTCATTTTTTTCTGCCTTGAAATTCTGATGGTCTGTCTATCGCACAAGATGGTGTCTTCCCGTAGAATAGAGAATGGAAACAAGGAATGGGTCAAAGAGACAACAACCCAACCAAAGAGCAGAAAACAGCCCAAGGTCACCAATGGGTCCTCAACGCACCGAGAAAATTCCGCACCTGGAGACGGGCTGTGCATGTGAAAGTCATTGCAGTGTAGGAGGGCAAACATTTTCTATTTGAACTTTCTTTCGATAACTATGAGCATTCTTTGATATGGTATTGTTTATCATTGTTGTGCTTGTTGTATCTGAGAGTTTAGAACTTTTGTGCATTGATTTTTATTGCACAATCTTTCTTCTTTTATTATCTGATTATTCTACTAATTGAGTAAGTAGTTTAACCATTCAACATATTCATAATACTGTTCTAACCTTCATAGTTAAACCTGTTTTTTAAAAAGATTACTTCATGCACAACTATGTAATTTTTAATGAAATAGTTTTCTTGACAAGCATGACAAGTATGATTATACACATGCACATCATTTTGTAACTTGAATATCTGAGAAAATGTTATTTATAAATTGCATCACATGAATTGGATAGGATCTTATGAATGTCACAATCACTGCTTACTGCACTATGTTGTTGGAACTCTCAAAGGTAAAGAATGAGGCCTAAAAGAAATAGCTAGATCAACTAAGAGATAAAAGCGTTTCAATAGAAAATTTGTTTAGACCCTTTGCATTGTTATTTTGTTTTCCATTTGGAATATTACAATAAAATGCTCCCTTAAACGTTAGAAGTGTCTATATATTATGGCCTTGATAAAACCTTCAACAGCATGGCCAAAATTAAACTTTTTTCAAGATTCTCTTTCTTTCAGTGAAACATCTTTAAGGGTTCCCAGGCATTCTACAAAATGTATTTCCCCTAAATTTGTATCTGAATTCTTAAGTAGCATCAATTTCCCTCAAACTTGTATATCTGATTGCCTACAAGGGTTTCCGCACATTTTCAGTTTAAAACCCCCCTTAAATCGAAGATATAGCCATACATGGCTTAAAGAGTGGTTAATGACTATTTTCTGTTTTGGGAGTAAAAAGTAATAAAATTGCTTAACAATTAACATTATTTCGTTTGAGTGGAATCAGTTCAGCTAATTAACCTGAAATTTAAGGCTATTTTCTAAGTTTTAGCCAAATCTTGAGCTGAAAAATAGAATATTGTACAGAAAAATGCCCCAAAATGAAATGGCTAAATATCAATTTTTTTTAAGAAATTAAAGATGTAGAAAAAATGCGTCGTTTAATTTCCCTCAAAAAGTGCATGCTATTCAAGGAACATTACTATGTAACACTGTTTAAGATTTAGAATTTTTGAACCAACCAAAACCGACAACCAGCATACTTTGTTATCCCCCCTTTTTTCCCTGAAAATGCCATTTTTAGTCTGTAAAAGTGCCTTCTTCTTAATAACTCTGTATTTATTTCATGTAATTGTGACCAATTTATATGAATATTAACCTTTTCCATTATATCACTTTAAACTTCATAATTTCCATACTTGCACTCATGTTCTGTACATTTAAGGGAAATCAAGGTCATTAAGGGTAAAAAACGGACAACCGACACACTTTTCATCCCCAAAAAGAATGCCATTTCAAGTCAATATAAGTGCGTTATATTAAGAACTCTTTATCTGTATTTCTTATATTTGTGAGTCACTGAACAACTTTTTATAATGTTCACTAACTTATTCCTTTATATCACTTTTAATTTGATAATTGCCATAATTACATACATGTTCTGTTCAATTTAGGGAAAGGAGGGCGCGATCATTATGGACCCGTTCTGGATTCATAACTTAGTGAAAGATAAAACATGTATTTGATTTGTTTTGGCATTGACAAAATAGCATTTGAACTTATGCTTTTTTTGGCAGAAATAGGTTAAGTGATCATTGTTATGCCCCACCTATGATAGTAGAGGGGCATTATGTTTTCTGGTCTGTGCGTCCGTCCTTTCGTCTGTCCGTCCGTCTGTTTTTTTTTGTCAAGGTAGTTTTGAATGAAGTTGAAGTACAATCAACTTGAAAGTTAGTACACATGTTTCCTATGATATGATCTTTCTAATTGTAATGCCATATTAGAGTTTTAACCCCAATTTCACGGTCCACTAAACATAGAAAATGATAGTTTGAGTGGGGCATCCGTGTACTATCGACACATTCTTGTTAAACAAAGTCATTTATGAGGCTCAACACTGGAATTATCTCATTTGTTGTATACTGCTTGGACTGTCGTGTTGGCACACTTAGTTATATACTAGTAACTGTCAATGTAACAATATACGTAAAACCAACCAAGAAGACTCAAAGTTATGTCAGAAAGTTTTCCTGTCATTGTTGTTTCAACATAAATTTCAGTTGATGCCAAGAGTGTCAACATATGAGAGCCACTGATAAATCGTATGTTTTATTAGTATCCCAAAAATATCCCTGGTCCACAACTGTCTTATATTGCCTATGAGTGGAAATGAAGTAGCATAGGCGGATCCAGGGGGGGGGGCCCTCTTGTCGGAAAAATTTGATTATATAGGGAATCACTGAAGCATGACTGGAGCCCCCCCCCCCCCCCCCTTAGGTCAGTCAGCGGGCCCTCCCTTATGAAAAGTTCTAGAGCCACCACTGAGTAGATACAAACCATTTCATATATCCTAGCGATATATATCTATATAGTTATTAGGTTGTGTTAATCACTTATATTGTCTTACATACAAAAAACCATGCAGTGCAGTTTTAACTATTTTAGTTTTATTATAAAATTCATATTCACCAAAGATAAAAGCATTATACTCCCCAAAGAAGGAAATTATTTATATGAGTTACATTAGAAATCCACTTGCAAGTTTACTTTTGTTGGAAAAATAATTTTGGTATTCATACTATAGTATTAGAATATTCTTTAAATTCATAGCAACTGACTAACACAAGTTGTTTTAGTGTGACATTGTCTACAACAGTATATTATTCAATGATAGGTTGAAGCTTTTTCATGTATGTCTTCATTGTTTCAATTTTATAAAACATTTATAAAATAAAACTAAATATATTAAAAAGTTCAAACCATGGTTTTCAATGAATGTTGCAAAACAACTGCCTCACTAAGTTACTCAGAAACTGACCTTACCATGAAAACTTTACCTGAAATCACTAAACCCTAAAAATAAGGTCAAGGTACAGGCCAGTTGACACTTATCAGACAGTTTGAACAGTTTCAATAAATTCAATCAGTATGTAATATAGATCTGACATACCTATCAAATGAGAAACTGACCTTATAACAAAAACTGGACCCTGGTCATTGAACTATGACAATGAAGCCAAGGTCAGTTGACACATGTCAGTGTCATATAAACGTTACAACACATTAACACCATATATAATTAATTCAACATATATAAAAAAAAATGTGGTATGAGACAACTCTTCATCCAATATATTATGACAATATATTTTTTGGGATACTAATAAAACATACGATTTATCAGTGGCTCTCATATGTTGACACTCTTGGCATCAAGATCAAAAGTTGTCAATGTTGATAATTATTGGTCACAGTACAGCCTTCAACGTGGAGCTTAGGCTAACACCCCAAAGTTAGCCCTTTATGAGAAAGTGACCTGATTACTAAAACTTGCCCATGACCATGACAGGACCATGAAAATAAAACAAAGGTCAGTTGACACATTTTAAACTGACATATTCACCTTACAATGAATTTATACACCAATTATTATTGATTTACCATACCTAGTTACACCATAAGCTACAGTGGCATCAAACTTGGTGGTTGTAGGTCAAAAAGTGTGTGAGATATACAAAAGTGCATGCAAGACAGTAAAGAAATCCTTATGTCTCACTTTAATCTGCTTAACCTTCCAGAGCACCTGAGATCATCCCCAGTTTTTAGTGGGGTTCGTGTTGCTTAGTGTTTAGTTTTCTATGTTGTGTCTTGTGTACTATTGTGTGTCTGTTTGTCTTTTTCTTTTTTGGTCATGGCATTCTCGGTTTATTTTCAATCTATGAGTTTTACTGTCCCTCTGGTATCTCTCGCCACACTTTTTAAGTGACTTCAATGCAGATGAGACAAAAATGGGAGACAATTCAATAAAGACAAAAGAAATGCATGCTACTGATTTAATATGCATGCATGTTGACCAATCATTAAGAAATCACATCCTGAACTGAAAAAATCTAACAGAAATGCAAGACATATAAATATTTATTTTAATCAATTACATTTTTTAATGTGATACAATATAGTAGTAATTTCAAAATAATTACAATAATTACATTGAGAATATTGGTATCACAGTTTCCTAATCACAGTTCTAACTATCACAGTTTCTCCTAATCACAGTTCTTACCAACACAGTTTCTTAATATCAAAGTTTCCTAATCACAGTTCTTTCTATCACAGTTTCTTAATATCACAGTTTCTTAATCACAGTTCTTACTACATGTATCACAGTTTCTTAATATCACAGTTTCCTAATCACAGTTCTTACTATCACAGTTTGTTAATATCAAAGTTTCCTAATCACAGTTCTTACTATCACAGTTTCTTAACATCACAGTTTCCTAATATCACAGTCCTTACTATCACAGTTTCTTAACATCACAGTTTCTTAATATCACAGTTTCTTAATCACTGTTCTTACTATCACATTTTCTTAACATCACAGTTTCTTAATCACAGTTCTTACTATCACATTTTCTTAACATCACAGTTTCTTAATCACTGTTCTTACTACATGTATCACAGTTTCTTAATATCACAGTTTCCTAATCACAGTTCTTACTATCACAGTTTCTTAACATCACAGTTTCCTAATATCACAGTCCTTACTATCACAGTTTCTTAACATCACAATTTCTTAATATCACAGTTTCTTAATCACTGTTCTTACTATCACATTTTCTTAACATCACAGTTTCTTAATCACTGTTCTTACTATCACATTTTCATAACATCACAGTTTCTTAATCACAGTTCTTACTATCACATTTTCTTAACATCACAGTTTCTTAATCACAGTTCTTACTATCACATTTTCTTAACATCACAGTTTCTTGATCACAGTTTTTACTATCACCTTTTCTTAACATCACAGTTTCTTAATCACAGTTCTCACTATCACATTTTCTTAACATCACAGTTTCTTAATCACTGTTCTTACTATCACATTTTCTTAAATCACAGTTTCTTAATCACAGTTCTTACTATCACAGTTTGTATAATTTATTAATGTATATGAATAATATAAATTACAAAGAATCACTGTATTATACACTACATGTCTATACTAATAGGAGACAAAACAATTCCCATTTCCATTTTCAATTTTAAATTTTTTCAAATTTTGTCAAAGACTTTGGCACATTACCATCATACAAATGGTGATGTCATATAAACATTTTCAGTGTAGAAAGTATTTTACAAATTCCTGATGTCAAGCACCTTTTGGTTAAAAACAATTAAAAAACAGAATAAAAAAATAATAGGAATCAAAGTTTTCAAATATTGGAAAAATTTATGAGTCATTCTTCTAAAATAGCTAGATGCAAAAATATGATGAACTGCTGCATGTTCCTGATAGTACTAATGCATAGTTATATATAGACCTGTTTTGACAGACCTGTAGGGAAAATGCATTAAAATATGACATTTTTAAGGAACTTTCAGATTTTGTTTCAATTTCAGAATTTTATAATGGCTGGCCTCCACCTTCTCTTACAGCCAACCTATACTCTCACCATTTTTGTCTTCTAAAAAATCATACAATTTGATGGAATACAGCATTTATTCAAATATAGGAAATATTGGGAGTACATGTCCCAAAATAGAAAAATATAGGAAGCCTCAAAAGAAATAGGAGACTTGATAGCTGGCAACATATATGCATATATGATATAATGCAGTATAAATAATAAACATTGTGAATGGATAATTTAACATCATTAAGATATTGTTAATTTACTCTGACTTAAGAGGTTTTAAAAAAAGATATCAATACTGTTTTGTTTCACTTTCCCATTTTGTTTATAACTTACTCATAAAACATACTCATAAACATCTAGATTACCATTAAAATACATGTAATACTGACAGAATTATGTCACTTTTTTGGTATATTTTTAATAAGATTCAAATACTACACCATGTTTATGTCATGTAGTCAGGTTATTTTCAATATTGTTTCTCTTTATTCTTCGTCCAAAAAAGTATTGATGGCATTAACAATCTTTTGTGAAATTTTGTATTCTTCAAATAAAAATTTCACACCCTTTTTATCCCTGTTGTATACAGTCTTGATGTGTTCAAAAGAAACACCATGTCTTGCCAGTAATACACTTGCTGGTTTTGTTATTATTTTTTTCTTAATAAATTCTGCATAAGACTCCACACAAGTGTGATACATAAGCGAATAAACATCAACATTATTAAAAAAAGATGACAGTTTTACATCAAAAAGACTTTGAAGAGACTTCACATCTTCAATAGCATTGTGAGCAGAGTATGAGATATTAAGAAATTTTTCAACAAGTGTTTGTTGTTTATAGTTCACAACCTCATCCTTGTTAATAACTCTACGAGCCAATTTTAAAGTATCAACAAAACCCTTTACTAGTTTGCAATAAGTTGTGTATAAATTTGATTCTTTAAGTTTCCTGACTAAAATAGGTATATTGTGACCAATTAAAATAGGTTTTTCTAAAACAGATAAAAATTCTAAAAAGTCTAACAGTGCTTTCTGTTAGAAATTGGTTCCACTTTTTCTCCATGAACGTACATAATGTTGGTACTCTGACTGTATGTAATGCCAGTGACCCTGCTTGCCTCAATTTGTATGTCAACCCTTGGAATTACATACTTCTGAAATACATTCTCACCATTTTTTGCAGCAATCTGTGTAATGTCACAATTCCTTCCTAAGCCTTTCGTTTCCAAGTCAAAGAATACTTTGCTTTCTGAACCAGATATCATAATTTGCTGAGGAATCTGAGGAACATTTTCTGTGTTATCCATGTTTAGTTCAAATTGTGTCTCATAAGTGGGTCCCTCTTTAATAGTGCTTTTCCTTTCATTTAAATTCTTTTTTTTCTTTAAGGAAATCCTCCTTTTCTTAATTTCTTTTTTATTCGATGCCTGCTTTCTTTTCTTTCTTTTTGCATCCATTTTTGATGTCAAAGATGTGGTAAAATCACCAGGAGAGAGATTTGAAGCCTCATTAACCTAAAAATTACAATTGATTTATAATGCAAATAAGACAAAAAGAAGATTTAACAATATAGCTATAAATTAAAGACATCGATATTATACAATCTTGAATATTTGAAGTGGTTTGAATGGTATTGACAAAAAAAAACACTAATATTGACTGAGTCAGAGCTGAGGTCAGTATCTAATTTTTCCTGTCAAAAACAATGCCATGTTTCTAAAAAATGTCCTTTATCATGTTTATACAGTAGAATATGAAGTTACAACTTACCATCAGGTTATTACATGGATAACTTGCATCAAGTTTATATCATTTGTGGTAAGGGGACAAGGAGTTTGAGCTAAAATGATTTTTGAGGAGCAGCTAATATATCGACATAAAATAATACAGAGATTTTATAGACATAATATATCTGATCTAAGGGATTTGTCTGAAGCAATTTGCCTGGTCAAACCACAAATAACTAAAGATTTCAAGCTATCAGAATTGTTGCAATATCTTTAGCTTTGACATTTCATAAAGTCTAGCAAGAGCTGAGCTAGGTGAGACTAACAAGGGGAAATATGATCAAAAGATGTGTGTTAATAAAACATAAAACCAATATCTTCTAAATTAATCCTTACACACATAAGGAAATAAACATAAATACACATAACGTTTTATTTTACCTTAGGCAAGTAGCTGTAGCCTTCATTTTTTTGAAGAACTGCAGCAGATAGTCTGTTTTTAAGGGAACATGATCCTCCATAATGTCTGAAATATACAATTTCTATACATTCAATGAAAGAAAAAGATATGCAGAATGTATATTAGACAAAATTTCATACAAAATAAGAGGCTCCAAGGAGCCAGCAAATTGAGTAATCTATCACCTGAATTAAGTAGAGTGGTGACCTTTCATTTTTACATAATCAGATTTATTAATAAATATAGACAATACATGTTCATTGTTGGCAAATATAAAATTAATTTGTATGAGCTCTTTTGTCGGGTTGTTGTCGCTTTGACATATTCCCCATTTCCATTCTCAATTTGATTACTGGGTTACAAATAACTAGTTTAATACTTAAGCTCTAAATAGACTACATCGTGGTAGATAACCAGGATACCTTTTTAAGTCTACAACTGAATATAGACTGTAAATGCACTAGTTGCAGTTTACATATATTTATGTGTGTTTACCTTGACTTTGGTGCTTTTGAAGATGCCATCTGATTGAAGCTTTCATTTGCCTGTGTTGATCCTAATTCTGCTATAGCATCAGACCGAGATGTATATTTTGATACCAATACCAATAGTTCTTCTTTCAGGGATTCATTTGTTAGTGGATTACCACCTGGAAGGCTCCTATACCTATAATTGTATTGCATGCTACATCAATACATATACAACACATGGTTACAGCCAAACAATACTGAATTAATTTGACCAGCATTAGAAAACATCTAGCTCAATTGAAGCTCCTGGGGTTTTTTTCAGAGACCGTGTCAAATAAATAAAGTATTGTTTCATAACAATAAAGTAAAGGCTTATTATTATCATTCTGCTACTTTTATATTACTTTAAATTCAAAAATTATTTCGAAAAATGTGACAGGGTTAAACTCTATTTAATTCTAACTCGCATTCTGAAATTTTTTATATGAATTAAACAAGATATTTCTCAATATCACAAAAATTAAAATCGCATTTTCGTCTAAAATGACAAAATCGCAGTCATAAATGCGCACAATAATTTCTGAATTTACAGTATGTGGATAATTCCAATGGAAAAAGTTTAAATAAGATTAAAAATAGTTTTGGTATTAGGACAGTCAGAAAAAAAACTGCAGGAAATGGCAAGAGCCTTAAAGTTTATTAGATTAACAGGAACATGATAAATAAAACATATTTAAGGTTTTTATTACATAGAAGTTAACACAGACTCCGGGATATCTAATGACCCTGTTTACAGAGAGAGGCTTTATTATGCTACTAGCATAATAAAACTAAAGATTTCATATGTTCTCTAAGACTTTTTGTAAAGAAGGTTTATTGGTCATTGATAATTTAGAATTTTACCCATACTTAGTACCTTGTCTGAATCATAGAATCTTACTTAAAATTTGTTGGATTCTCCTTATATTTACACCATGTGACCTCTCTGCAACTGTCATGATTGCCAAATATATGTGGTACAATTCTGTCTAGAGATACTTTTATATCATCTTCAGTTGTTCCTCCCGTAATTGCATACATGAAACATCTTAGTATATATTCTCTGGTATCATCCTGTTTAAGTTCCTTGTACCTTCAAATTAAATTAGTTATTACCTTTGTTTATTCAATTAACTAGAAAAATATCAATTTTGTTTTTGTTTTGGGTTTGTGTTTCAAAAACAATGTTTTCAATGTTGTCAATATTTTTTTTCAAATTTATCACTGGAAAATTACTCATCATTCAACCAACATACTGTGTCTGTCCCAAGTCAGGAGCCTGTAATTCAGTGGTTGTCGTTTGTTGACGTGTTACATATTTGTTTTTTCATTCATTATTTTGTACATAAATTAGGCAGTTAGTTTTCTTGTTTGAATTGTTTTACATTTGTCATTTTGGGGCCTTTTATAGTTGACTATGCGGTATAGGCTTTGCTCATTGTTGAAGGCTATACAGTGAGCTACAGTTGTTAATTTCTGTATCAGTTGGTCTCTTGTGGAGAGTTGTCCATTTGGCAATCATACCACGTCTTTTCTTTATATATAGGTTCAGGAATTCTGCTTTAGGATTATAAGTCAAATCTGAACTAAAAAAAAACAAAAACACTTTGTTTGTTTAATTATAATTAGTTACTAAAGTGTAGCATTGGATGCATAGTGGTACATTTATATAGCTTACTTTACAGACATTTGATGCAAACTTTTTGATAAGCCCTTTTTCAAATGATTCTGATCATCTCTCTTTTCAAGATCTTCAAAATCAACTTTCAATTTTGAAGTGGTAGCTGCATCATTGTCAGCATGTATCACTAAAAGAATAAAAGAACATGCGATCATTATAGAAATTTCATATCATTGGGCTTTTTTTTTTCAAGGTTTAACAGTTATGGATGCATGAAAAATAAACTGCTTCGGTGAGCGCAGCTGGATACGCTTACAGAGGTCCAACCCTGAACAGTTTAGGCAAAAAAGGACACAATATTCAAGCTTGATACAGGTCTGAATTTGGATTGTTATTAAATATTTGATATATTATAGGTTTCTGAATAAATGTAGTCAAAGAACTTGAAATTGTTTATATGAAAGATTTCTTGTGTTGAGCAATACACTGTGCTGTTGCATAATACTTAGTAAATCTGTTGTCAGACTATAAACAAATAAAATCTTATAACTCGGAAACATAAAATGAATATTTATAAAAATGAAAAGGGAGCTTACAAAAATAGATATAAACAATTTACCAAAGTTTCATAAAAAATGCTGAAAGCATTTTTGAGTTATTGTCCCAAAACTGTCCCAAAACTGGAAAATCCCCCTTTTTGTAATGAATAAAACCTCATAAATCAGAAACGTATAGTCTGAAATTTATAAAAATCAAAAGGGAGCTCATGTCCATAGAAATAAACAACTCACCAAAGTTTCTTGCAAATTTGTGAAATTGTTTTTGAGTTGTTGTATGAAAACTGGAAAATCCCCCCTTTTTTAATTAATAAAACCCCAAAACTCTGAAACAGTAAATCCTAAATTTATAAAAAAAAACGAAAGGGAGCTCACGTCAATAGATATGAACAATTCACAAAAGTTTCATGCAAATTGGTGAAATTGTTTTTGAGTTATTGTCCGAAAGGGGGAAATCACCCCTTTTTTAATGAATTAAACCCCAAAACTTGAAAATGATAAATCTGAAATGTATACAAAATGAAAGGGAGCTCCAGTCAATAGATATAAACAATTCACCAAAGTGTCATGCATATTGATCAAAGCGCTTTTGAATTAATGTCCAACATGTTGACGAGGAAGGACAGACGGTCAACGGTATACCATAATACGGCCTGTAAACAGGCTTTTAAAAACAGTCTTTCTTCACCTGAATAATGAATGGATACTATTATTTGTATATGTTGAATGAGCAATATTTCAGCTATAGGAACATATGTAGTGCATTGAAATTGTCTGCTGAGCAAGGTTTTGTAGGCAATATAAATAGGGACATCCATATACTTCAGACAAGTTCTTCTTTTATAACCAAATTTCCCTTGTAAAATGTACATGCAATTCAAATAGCATACCTTTTATTTCACACCCTTCATTTTTTAAAGTGTGTGCCATCGATACTGCCATATCTGATTCCATGGCCTTGCTTGACCCATACCAGTTTTTAGAACAAAGGTGGTCTGGAATCTGAGTTTGATTTGCAAGATGGTATTCACAGGTCTTGCATGATCTGCTTCTTTGATCCCAGAGCATTATTTTTCCAGTTTCTTTTCCAATCATAGTTGCATGGCCTTTTAAAATTAAAACCATTATTGTACTTATAAAATGTTCATGTTAATTTCAGTAAATATAATCTATGAACTAGATAGACATCCTCTAATTTAGGGATAAAAGCTGAACTTGGTAAACACACAATTTATGTTTACATTTTTTTAGGGGGATTGCCTTAGATAATCTTTTTTTTCAAATTTTTCTGATACAGAATAATAGTGATATTGCTAAATCCATTATTCAAATCAAGTAACAAATAAAATGCTCTGCAGGGCGCAGCTTGATACGACCACAGAGGTTGACCCTGAACAGTTGGGGCAAGTATGGACACAACATTCAAGCTTGATACAGCTTTGCATTTGGATTGTGATTAAATATTTGACACAGCATAGGTTTCTGACACAGAATGAATGTGGTCTAAGAACTTAAAAATTTTAAATTGGACATTCACCTATTATGGTCCAATATCCAAAATCTAAATACATGGTTAAATTCAGCATATCAAAGAACCCCAAGAATTCAATTTTTGATGAAATCAAACAAAGTTTAATTTTGGACCCTTTTGACCTCAATGTGGACAAAGTTGATAACAGGGCCCAAAAATCAAAAATCTAAATACATGGTTAGATTCAGCATATCAAAGAACCCCATATATTCAATTTTTGTTGAAATCAAACAAAGTTTAATTTTGGACCCCGATTTGGACCAACTTGAAAACTGGGCCCATAATCAAAAATCTAAATACATGTTAAGATTCAGCATATCAAAGAACCCTAAGAATTCAATTTTTGTTAAAATCAAACTAAGTTTAATTTTGGACCCTTTGGACCTTAATGTAGACCAATTTGAAAACGGAACCAAAAATTAAGAATCTAAATACACGGTTAGATTCGGCACATCAAAGAACCCCAATAATTCAATTTTTGATGAAATCAAACAAAGTTTGATTTTGGACCCTTTGGACCTCAATGTGGACCAATTTAAAAACGGGGCCCAAAATCCAAAAACTAAATACACAGTTAGATTCAGCATGTTAAAGAACCCCAAGAATTCAAGAATAAAATCCCATTGAAATTGGTCAAGAAATAAGCAATTTATACGAAGTATCTTCTTTTGTACAATACTGTGCAATTAAATATTTCTTGCTTTTGCGCAATACTGTACAATTGACAATTTCTTGCTATTGCGCAATATTGTGCTATTGGATATTTCTTGCTATTGCGCAATACTGTGCAACTGAAGATTTCTTGCTATTGCGCATTACTGTGCAATTGAAGATTTCTTGCTATTGTGCAATACTGTGCAATTGAAAATTTCTTGCTATTGCACAATACTTATTATATAATAATTTACACATCCTGTTTGGTGTGTATCTTCTACCATATCATTATTATTTGCTTTTAAATATAAATCAGAAATAAGCAACTTAAAACGGAAAATTTTAAAAGAAAAAAAAAGGAAAAAAAGAAAAAAATCCCCCCCCCCCCAAATTTTTGGAACCCCCTTATGATTCATCACCCCCAAACTCAATCCCAGCCTTCCCTTTGTGGTATGGTACCTTGCAGTGCAATTTCAGAGAGATCCATACACTTGAACACAAGTTATTGTCTGGAAACTAGAAAAATGTGTTTTTTGGCCCCTTTTTGGCCCCAAATTCCAAAACGTTTAGGGCAATTACCCCCAAACTCAAACCCAGCTTTCCCTTTGTGATATGGAACCTTGTAGTACAATTTCAGAAAGATCCATACACTTACACACAAGTAACTGTCCTGAAACTAGAAAAATGCTTGTTTTTTGCCCCTTTTTGGCCCCTAATTCCTAAAATATTGAGGCAATTACCCCCATCATTAATCCCAGCCTTCCCTTTGTGGTATGGTACCTTGCAGTACAATTTCAGAGAGATCCATACACTTGAACACAAGTTATTTTCTGGAAACTAGAAAAATGCTTATTTTTGGCCCCTAATTCCTAAACGTTTCGGCAATTACCCCCAAACTCAATTCCAGCGTTCCCTTTGTGATATGGAACCTTGCAGTACAATATCGGAAAGATCCATACACTTACACACAAGTTATTGTCATGAAACTAGAAAAATGCTTGTTTTTTGCCCCTTTTTTGGCCCCTAATTCCTAAATTTTGAGGCAATTACCCCCAAAATCAATCCCAGCATTCCTTTTGTGATATGGAACCTTGTGGTACAATGTCAGAGAGATCCATACACTAACACACAAGTTATGTCTGGAAGTTACAAAAATGATTATTTTTGGCCCCCTATTCCTTTACTGTTGGTACCATAACCCCCAAAATCAATCCCAACCTTCCTTTTGTGGTATTGAACCTTGTGGTAAAATTTCATAGAGATCCATTAACTTAAACTAAAGTTAGAGTGCGAAAACCAATGTGTCTTCGGACTATGCAGATGACGACGACGCCAACGTCATACCAATATACGACCACAAAAATTTGTTTGCGGTCGTATAAAAACAGTTTCCCGTATATCTTTGGAGCTAACGACAGCTTAAAAAATTTAATAAATTAGGGACTCTTTTTGCTTGCGCATATTTATGTTCTTATACTTTAAATTATTTCTATGTCAGATGTACTTTTTATGCTTATATGACAACAAGGTTGATATGACGTGTGACATCCCCTCTTTGTTTACATTTGAATCCGTGACCTTGACCTTTGACCTTGAAAATCAATACAGTTCTAGATATTACTTAGTACTAAGTATTTACAAAGTTTAATTTTTAAAAACCTATTTAAGAATGTTGATTCTAGTGTTCATAAGGGTGTTTAAAACAGTGACCTTGACCCTGGCCCTTGACATATTCTTCAAGATTAAATATGTATGAAATTTGGTCAAAATCCATGGAAGGATGTTCAGTCCAGTGTTCTAACAAGGGTGTTACACACAGATGAATTGATAAGGGTTCATTTAAAAGAATAAGAAAATTACATGGTAATTCAAGGGCATAGCCTATAGCTATGAGCATTACTTTTTAAAATTGTGAAAATCCTTTCTTTAGTCTGTAATTAGTTATAGGCACTTGAAGTCACTGACAGAAAAGTAATAACTAGGTTTCAAGATTGCAGTTCTGCAAATTATTTAAAATCATAATTTGAAAGCAATAATTTACAAGAGACAACAACAGTTTTTGCTGATTGTCAAATTTTCCAGCACAATTACCAGTATTACTGTTATAATTCCATCCAGATCCTCTTTTCTGCCAACCACCATCAAAACTTGCTGCCACCTGTAAAACAGATTAAAACCAGCATAATAACATAATAAATCCAAGGTTAAATTTTAAACCAGAGGCTTCCAGGAGCCTTAAATTGCTCAACTGGTTGTCAGTTGAGCTGAACTATGCACAGGAATTTTAAGCAAAGTTAGATTTTAGTAACTGTGGCCATCTTTGATAATGAAGAGCAAGGCTAACAGTAACATGCAATCTTTTTATCCAGTTACTTCATTTCAGATTTCAGTCAATTCCAGCTAAAAATTTAGAAGTTTTTGGCATTTCAATATATTGTTATTTTTGTCAACTGTGGCTATCTTGGATGATGGTCGGGGCTGCATAACACAATTGTAAAAGGACAACCCAAGGATCATTGTTGCTGAAAATCTGTAATTGTTTGCCATTTGAGGATAATAATAGCCACCCTCTTAGATAGAGTGTCTGAGACAGGGACGTTTGGTTCAATTTACACATGAAAAAACTTGACTGCTGAGTTCAGCAAAATACATGTAGTTGTACCCGGTAATAAATTAACACACAAAATGTAAATACAGCTAAATGCAAGCATACAATGTCTACTAAGAAAATTATTTTGAAAATATTTATATATACATATATACTGGCAACACACAAACTGTACTTTAAAACAAACAATAATGTACAAAATAACTTACATGTAAATTACAAGTTTAGTGAAATCCAGTCCATAGAAAAAAAATGTACAAAAACCCATTACCCGGTAATCATTTTGAAGAATGTATATCAAAAATGATTGATTTCTCTGTAAGATGCAGATTATATAGACCTTGATTTACATAATTGTATAATATGTTATGCAAACAAATATACAATAAGCTTTAAGCTAAAAGCAAAGACTTTAGCAAGCATTATGTTGTACATTTGTCCTCAGTAGGAATTGAACCTACATACAAAAGTATTCTCCATGTCAGATGAAGACTTTAAAAGTTGTATACATAATTGATCAAGCAAATAAATACCAAGAAAAATGATAAGTTTGTAATGGTATTTGGTTCAAGTCAGTATTTATGCTGAAGGAATTTAAAAAAAAATGTTTGCAGATGAGTAATTATTTATATATTTATATAAATGACATACTTTGCCATGACTTAGAAGTTTTTCTTGATGTTGAGCTTCTCTGCAGGAGGTCATAGCAACATCATGTATTGTCTTACTGAACTCTTTCTCATTTTTGCGCAATGTTGTATCACTAATTGGTGGTAAGTTGCATTCTGTTAAGAAAGTTGTTTACATGGGATGGTCCCATTCCTGCATGTGCCATACCTGTGTATACAAAAGTTGCATGATAAATGTGTATATATGTGGTGTTTTGTGGTCAAATGAGCAATATTTCAGCTATATCATGATTGGAATAAGGTGTCAGGCATTGAAATAAATGTCGGCTTTGGCTATACTAGCAACCAATGCAGGTTGGTATGTCAGCAATCAAATATGTTTTGCAGTTTCCATACTTTGTAAATAAAAGACAGTGTTTTATTCTAGTGAAGTTTTCTTTTTTCAGGCACTTGGCCAAACAATTAATAGGCAAAAGATATAGATAATGTTAAATTTTAGGTATGGAATTATGTTATTTCTATTTCAAACTGAAGTGAGCGTGTTAAATGTTTATAAATGCATATGCAAGGAAAATAGAGTCAGGCAGTGTTTTTAAATATTTTTTTTTACAAAGAAAAAATGTTTTAAGATGGAGATCATATGATGGTACTAGAAACACAGTCACATATAATTTTACTTGACCAAGCTTAATTAAATCTATCATGAACACTTAATTAATTTTTTGGGCTAAATTTCTTGTTGGTAGTTCCAGTTTAACAAAAAAGATGGTGGCAAAATGATAGCTGTATTACAAATACTACTTTAAATTAGACTTGTTTTGTCTGTGATAAAATATATCTTCATACCTATTGCAACTTTGGAATTTATGCAATAACTTCCATTTGGGGTTCTCTTGCCTGTATGCACATCTGTTGTTGCTAGACATGCAGAGTTGTCACATTTAATAAGTAATACACTTGCCAAACCATACAACCTACAGATGTAAATAAACAAAGGTTAACAACAATTACAAAGCCAGCCTCTATATTATAATTTTAATAACAATTCTTTATAACCAAGCAGGTGCCAGAGATACAAATGTACTTATTTAGCACTGGCTACAAATACCCCATCTGGGACATTTAGAATTAAAATTATTGACCCCTGCTTTCAGTCTACTATTTAATATGTTGAAATGAACTGGAACTATTTAGATGAAATTTTTGAATATGATATATATTATAAATCCATATTTATAATTTTCACTACAAAACAGATTAATTGCATTGCAAAATACAATGATTGCAAAATACAATGACTGCAAATAATGTTTCTTTTTCATGTTTCAAAATCATGGAAACTGGTTAAACTTGGTCCACTACTACTACTAACTTAAGCTTACATTTATCATTGTTTATGTAAAGAAAAAAAGGTACCCAACAATTCAAACCAAATGCAGGATACAATAATTTTAATTCTAGACATGCTAGAAGTCCCAGATATATTTACATGATATACATGATATGAGGATTCATAGCCATGGCTATGGTGCCTAGCTATTTCTGGTACTATGGCGTTTAATTTTTAATATTACTACTAGGTCACATTGTCAAGCTAAGTTAATTGTGTATAAGTCATTTAGAACTCAGTGGGAAATGCATTCAATCATGTTTTGATTGTAAACATGGTAAAGAGGTGCCATAACATACATGTATGTCAATCCAACTAATTACAATATTGCTTATAAAAGTTTATTCTACTTGTTTTACTTGCTGAGAAACGTGAGATTCTGTATATTCTAAAATTGGATTTTGCTGAGACGAGAGTTGACACATCTTTTTGCAGTGACGAATCCAGAAATTTTCATAAGTAGGGGCCCACTCCAGTCATGCTTCAGTGATTCCCTATATAATCAACCAAATTTTTCTGACAAAAGGTGGGGCCTGGGATCCCTGCCCCCCCCCCCCCCCCCCCCCTAAATCTGCCTCTGTTTTGTGTTTACCTCTCACCAACTGTATTGGATAAATGTAATGGCAAGTTACAACGGCAGCAATACATTTCCTTTGCCATAACATCGAGTTCTACCACTCTTCTGCCTTCCATCCAAGCATTGCTTTTGTTAACATCAATAATTTCTTCATCTATTGTTACTTCACAACCAATGTCAGTTAAATAATGTGTGTATTGGTTGTGGTCTTGTAAATCTTGGTTTTGGAGGGAGGTGTTTTTACGGTCATTATTCAACTTTTTGAAATATGTATGCCTTTTAGATTTGTTTCTTTTAAAAAAGCCACACTTGGTCCTTTCTCTGTCCATTATGTAGGTGTCTGATATTTCTGATATTAATCTTCAATCATATGAACAGCTGATTAATGTCACCGGCGTCTTTTGTCAACATTAGATCTATGTCGATTAAGCGCTTAAAATTGCATCATATATTTAAAACACTTCACTGAATCAATTAATGTTGTCCGTTAGAAAAGAGTTATCTCCCTGTAGTGTTAGGTACTACCTTAAATTAGATTTAAGTAATTATCGACTAACCAGACTGGATGCCAATGCGTTTTATAGATATAAGTATCTAGAATATCTAATAATTGATAATAATGACATCAGATGGTTGCATTCAAAGGCTTTTTGTGGCTTATCATTATTGAAAAATTTGTCTTTGTCTTAAAATGATCTGAAAGTTTCTGAGTCGTATTCTCAGGGAGTGTTTGAGAGCTTAAATAATTTATCAGATTTAGATATAAGTAGAAATATGAAAACTTGAGACTACAACCCATATAAAATTCCAGTGGGTGGACTTAGTAAATTCCGTGAGCTGAGCATTGATCTTGTGTTTAATGAAACGTTTTGACAGCAGTTCAAGAAACTGTACTATTTACAAAAGTTGAGTCTTAATTATTGCCACGTAAATCATTTATTACAAATGAAACATTTTTCGAAATGCCGGTAAGTTTAAAGGAGTTCCACATGACAACGTGTAAAGAATTTGTTGTCATTGAAGGTGGCGTTTTAGTTCCGTTTCCACATCTTAAAGTACTAAATCTCGCGAACATCAATGTTCATTTAACACAGGCCCTAAACATTTTACATCCATTTCAGAACAAAACAATGGATGCACTTCTTTTTCGCGGAATACCTCGTCCAAATTGGAAGCATAGCATTGATCCAGTAATTCTTACACCAGAGATGATGAAATATATTTATGCTATCTGTATAAAAATATTAGACTTATCCGAACATGACATTATTTTAGTAAAAAACAAATCGTTACTTTTGTTTCAAAGTCCAGAGTGCTTTGAATGTGTTATTATATCTGCTAATAGATTTAGTATGGATAGCTGGAGAGTTTATTTCGCCTTGTTTACGTTCAAGATGACCAACAATAAAATAATAGATTTTTCATATTTCCCATTAGGATTCAAAAATCCAACTTTCCTTAACGTAATAACTAACAAAGAATAACTTAACAAGAGTTGAACAAGTTCAAGGCAAATGGGCAAGAGAGGCTATTTCAATGACATTTATACTTCCGAGTCAAATTCAGTTTTTGAGAATAACTCATTTGATGACGGAAGGTTCATTTCTAGAAATAAAAGCAAAAAATTGCTTCCTTTGTCACCTTCAAATATCTTACGTTGAAGCAGATTTATTCCCACTTATAACTATGGAAGAATTTAACAGTTTGAATCATTTAGATTAAGGTATAAATTCAGTAAAAACTACTGGAAAGACAAAAATTCCGATTATGATCCATCTAAAACACTTATCTTGAAAGAAACACAATTGTTCAATGTTTTACAAACCAATACAACAATATTAAGTTTTTGTCCAAATATAATGAATTTGGATATATTATTAAATTATATCTTGAAAAACAAATCAAATTCACGCGGGCTACTACTTGATTTAAAACAGCTCAATTTATCTCATAATTTGTTTGAGACTGTTCCAGATGTAGTTACAACCTTTTATAGCATTGTCGAACTCGATTTATCACACAATCATTAACAACAATTAGAAAGAATATACTAGACTGGATTGATACCCAGCATAGAAATCATTGATTTTTTTAAAATTATATCTAAATACTAACCCGTTTATTTGTTCGTGTGACGCAACGAAATTTCTACGTTGCATTTTGACAACTAAAGCAAAGTTAGATAACAATAGTAGTTACTCTTGTTGGGTTTCTTCAAGAAAAAGCATCAACTATACAAGAAATGTCGCTGAAGACTTTCATCATTATTTCGTTGACTGTGATACTACCGTTTGGATCAAATTAGGCATTTCATTATTGGTTTCTGTTTTATGGAGTGTGCTTTGTATTGCTCTATTATACAATTTCAGATGGAGGATAAGGTTCTTTTTTTCGAGATTTCCGAAGATTTGCTGAGAAAGGGCAGGAGCTAACATTTGATTATGACGTGTATGTTTCATATTCTGATGACTGCTTTTCTTTAGTGAAAGAATTGCAAGAGAAAGTAGAGGACGAATTGGGTTTCAAAATATGCTTTGAAGATAGAGATTTCATTGTAGGCGAATCGATTGCTACCGAAAGAGCTACGTCAATAAACAGATGTAGACACATAATATTTCTAGTAACGCCTTCAATTGTTAAAAAGGAATGGGCACGTTTTGAAATCGAGCAGGCAAAGTATGAAAAGTTTTCCAAAAATCCTCAGAGGATTGTTGTAATAAAAAGATATATCCCTTTGGATAATATTCCGATGGAATTTTAAACCATTTGGAAAGATGCGCTCTCAATTCAATGGCCAGTCGAGAAGAATGCAGTTCGAATGGCTTAGCAAAAGCTTCGACTTTGGTTCTTTTGATGTGGTATTAAGGTACAAGCGTCAACCAAATGGGCAGTGTACCATGCATATACCTATGTACGTGTTAACTTGGCCTATTTGTTTTGTTTTTTTGTTAATTTCAAATAGTTTTCCTCCGTATATTTTTTTGGTCGTTGGAGTATGGAGACCAAGAATTGGTGCACAGCCAAGATAAACTATTGTACACGTGTTATATAGAGATGAATATTGCAAGAATTGCATACATACAATTGAGTGTATCGCAGCACAGTATAGTTTTGTATATTTATGTTAGTGATGAACTTATTTTCAATTA